GGGGTCATAGGGTGCAGTTGGGCTTGCTAGTCACGTACCTGGCTCCCTGCCATGTGGCAGCAGCCTTGCCTGAGCTGCTTGATGTTATAGCCGCGGTGGCTGTTGACACCCCCAGGCTTATGGTCATGGGGGATTTTAACCTGTCATCAGTTGGCGAGACATCTGAGGTGGCTCGGGAGTTCATGGCTTCCATGACGGCTATGGACCTGACCCAGTTAATTTATGGCTCTACTCACATGGGGGGACACACACTGGACCTTGTTTTTGTCTCTGGACAGTGGTTGAGTGATCTCGAGATAGGGGATATAGTGATTGAACCCTTGTCATGGTCAGATCACTCCCTCCTTCGCCTGGACCTTCGAACCACCACACCCCGCCGCAGGGAGGCGGAACTGACCAGGTGGTTCCGCCCCAGGCGCCTGATGGATCCTGAGAGATTCCAGATGGAGCTTGGGCCATTTCCTGAGGTTCTAGTACACGACTCGGCTGAGGACTTAGTGGCCGCCTGGGATAGGGCGGCGGCTGATGCTTTAGACCGAGTCGTGCCTTTGCGGCCTCTGACCCGGCGCCGTTCTCACCTGGCTCCTTGGTATACTGAGGAGCTGAGGGAGATGAAGCGCCGGAAAAGACGCCTAGAGAGCAGTTGGAGGGCTAGTCGTTCTGAATCCGACCGAACACTGGTAAGATCTCATATTAAGAATTACCTAGTGGCGATAAGAGTAGAGAAGAGTAACTACTTTTCTACTCTTATTGCGTCATCAGATAATCGCCCAGCCGCCCTGTTTAGGGTGACCCGCTCTCTGCTCCATCAAGAGACGCGGGAAGACCCCTTGGAGGGTAGAGCTGAGGATTTTGTACAATATCTGTATGACAAAATTGCTCAGATTCGTGAACAGCTAGACTCTGACTGGATTGATCCAGAGGAGATGACGGGCAGGTCCTGAGAATATTATTTGGGAAGAGTTTGATCCTGTGACTCCCGAAAGCGTGGACAGGATACTGGACAGACTAAATGCGACCACATGTTTATTGGACCCGTGTCCATCCTGGTTGGTACTGGCCTCCCGGGAGGTGACACGAGGCTGGCTCCAGGAGATTATAAATGCTTCTTTGAGTGAGGGTGTCTTTCCCACCGTCTTGAAAGAGGCGGTGGTGAGGCCCCTCCTCAAGAAGCCCTCCCTGGATCCAGCTGTATTAGCAAATTATCGTCCTGTCTCCAACCTTCACTTTGTTGCAAAGGTTGTTGAGAGTGTGGTTGCACGACAACTGCCTCAGTACCTGGATGAATCGAATTATCTAGATCCGTTCCAGTCGGGATTCAGGCCCGGGTACAGCACAGAGACAGCATTGGTCGCATTGGTTGATGATCTCTGGAGGGCTCGAGACAGGGGTTGCTCCTCAGTCCTTGTCCTATTAGACCTCTCAGCGGCTTTTGATACCATCGATCATGATATCATGCTGCACCGGTTGGAAGGGTTGGGGGTGGGGGGCACTGTTCTACAGTGGTTCTCCTCCTTTCTCTCTGACCGGTCGCAGTCTGTGTTGACAGGGGGGCAGAGGTCGACCCCGAGGCCCCTTATATGTGGGGTGCCACAAGGATCGGTCCTCTCGCCCCTTCTATTCAACATTTATGTGAAGCCGCTGGGTGAGATCATCCGTGGTTTTGGGGTGAAGTACCATCAGTACGCTGATGACACCCAGCTGTACATCTCCACCCCAGACCACCCCAATGATGCCCTCGAGGTGATGTCCCGGTGCCTGGAGGCCGTACGGATCTGTATGGGGAGGAACAAACTCAGACTCAACCCATCCAAGACCGAGTGGCTGTGGTTTCCGTCGTCCCGAAATAGTCAGTTGGCGCCATCTCTGACTATTGGGGGCGAGTCGTTGGCCCCCACAGATGGGGTTCGCAACTTGGGCATCCTCCTGGACTCACGGCTGTCTTTTGAAGAGCATATGACGGCCGTAGCCAGGAGGACTTTTTATCAGGTTCGCCTGATTCGCCAGTTGCATCCCTTTCTGGATCGGGACTCGTTACGCACAGTCACTCACGCCCTTGTCACCTCACACCTGGATTATTGTAATGCTCTCTACATGGGGCTCCCCTTGAGAAGCACCCGAAGGCTCCAACTGGTCCAGAATGCGGCCGCGCGGGTGGTAATGGGAGCAATGTGGCGCTCTCATGTAACCCCCCTCCTGCACAAGCTGCACTGGCTCCCAGTGGTCTTCCGGGTGCGCTTCAAGGTTTTGGTTACTATCTTTAGAGCGCTCCATGGCTCAGGACCAGGGTACTTACGAGACCGCCTCCTGCCACCAATAGCCTCTCACCGACCAGTTCGCTCCCATAGAGGGGGACTCCTCAGGGTGCCGTCGGCCAAACAATGTCGACTGACGGCCCCCAGGGGGAGAGCCTTTTCTGTGGGGGCACCTACCATCTGGAACGGGCTTCCCCCGGAGTTACGAAACATCCAAGACTTACGCATATTCCGCCGTGCCCTGAAAACATTTCTATTCCAACAAGCTGGTCTGGCCTAACTCTCCCTTTTTAATTGGCTTTTAAACTGGCTTTTAAATTGGGTTTTAAACCTCTTTAGATAAATTTGGATGTTTTTTAATCTTTGAGCCTAAATTACTTAATCTGTTTCTTAATAGTTTTTAACTTCTATATGTATTTGTATTTATTATGGCTGTTCACCGCCCTGAGTCCTTCGGGAGTAGGGCGGTATACAAATATGAAAAATAAATAAATAAATAAATAAATAAATAAATAAATAAATAAATAAATACGTCATCAAAAAAGCACAACAAAGAATGTTCTTTCTGCGCCAATTCAGAAAGCTCAAACTGCCCAAGGAGCTGCTGATACAGTTCTACAGAGGAATTATTGAATCTGTCATCCGCACCTCTATAACTGTCTGGCTTGGTTCTGCAACCCAACAAGACAGACACAGACTTCAGAGGATAATTAGAACTGTAGTAAAAACAATTACTACCAACCTGCTTTCCATTGAGGACCTGTATACTGCACGAGTCAAAAAGAGGGCTGTGAAAATATTTACAGACTCCTCACATCTTGGACATAAACTGTTTCAACTCCTACCCTCAAAACGACACTATAGAGTACTGCACACCAGACCAACTAGACACAAGAAAAGTTTTTTCCCGAACGCAATCATCCTGCTAAAGAAATAATTGCCTCAACACTGTCAAACTAGTTATTAACTGTGCATTACTATTAATCTTCTTATCATTCCTATCACCCATCTCCTTCCACTTATGACTGTATGACTGTAACCTTGTTGCTGGTATCCTTACGATTTATATTGACTGTTTCTTAATATGATTTGATTGCTTATTTGTTCCCTATGACTATCATTAAGTGTTGTACCTTATGATTCTTGACGAATATATCTTTTCTTTTATGTACACTGAGAGTGTATGCACCAAGACAAATTCCTTGTGTGTCCAATCACACTTGGCCAATAAAGAATTCTATTCTATTCTATTCTATTCTATTCTATTCTATTCTATTCTATTCTATTCTAAAGCATTTCTATATTTTAGTAGATACAGAACAATTTACAATATTTGGCAAATGAATTAAGTTTAAATCAAGGGAACTGTTTTACAAAGTATAGCACTTAAATGGAATACACCAATCTTATGATGTCAATGGTATATCGTGGTTTACTCTGAAAGTTTGGACCCTACCCAAATTTAGACAGTCTTGGGGCCATACTTCAATTAAACAGTGTGGTAGTAAATATGCCCCTATCAATAACCAATGACCATTTCTCACAACTCCTACTCTGATTGGCCAAAGAAATCAAACATTCTTCCAAGCAGCCAATAGGGCCAAAGTTCAATTTCTAGGAGGACTGAAGAGATTGCTACAATACTATTGGACAAGTTATTATGTTGTCAGTCTAGTTAACAATTGAAAAACAGAGGAGGAAGTAGACGAGAGACAAAAACAGACTAATGTATGTAATTCTATGTAATGCCTGGTAGCTAAAGCTATACTTAGATTGCATGCAAATATACTGAACAAATAATGGAGGAATTAGGCTACTCTAATACCAGGAACAAATTTACATAAGAACAAAGGAATTGCCTTGTTGTTATCAAACTGAGGTAGTCTTGCAACTGCTTTCCCACAGTGGTCAATCAGTATTTCTGGGATGCTCAAAAACTCGAAATGGAGAGATAACTCTCCCTACCAATATTCCCTTCTAACTGGTAATTGGAGACATGCTTCTCCCACATCTGCGGTAACATTCAGTGTAACAGGTTTATTCTCCTTTAATTTATTCAATCCCCCTTTAAAGCTATTCAAGTCAGCGTAAATCCCATCTTGTGAGAATTAATTTCCACAGATAACAGTAGCTATGTGCTAAGCAAAGAACCTTATTTTATTTTATTTTATTTAATTTCCAACCTGCTGCACTGAATGACCCCTAGTTCTAAAGTCTGAAGAGAAGAAGCTTCTCTCTGGCCATCTGCCCCACACTTTATATGATTTTATACATCTCAGTCACATCATCCTTCAGTTGCTTTTTCATAAAAGAAACAGATCCATCCATTCAGAGAGACGGTGTTGTAACCCTCAATCATTCTAGCAGTTTTTTCCACACTTTTCCAATTCTATCACTTCTTGTTTCAAATGTGGCTACCACATCCACTTCAGTAAACAAAATTCCAAATCTGAATGTCTCACAGAGGTATCAACGGGTATTGCGGTATGGTCAAGTTTATTTTCAATCCCTTTCCAAATGATCCTTAACACAGAATTGCCTTTTTCATAGCTGTTGCACACCAAGTTACATACTTAATGAGCTACTAGTGATAACCTCAAAGTTTTTATATATAAATTTGAATATAGATCTATGTAATACATTATTAGTAGACTGTGAGAAATCAATGAATTCCTTTCCTATTAGCTCACTCTTTCTCCAATTTTGAAGGGGAAGAAAAAAGTCAAAAGTTTAAAAAGTACCGACCCTTTCTGTTGATGCTCCTGCTCCTGCTCCTCCTCCCTGCTTCCTTTCTTATAACATTGGTTTAAGATATAATCTCTCAGAAACTGCTCCCCTTCATCCAGTTTTGGATCATTCCAGTATATTTTCAGAGGTATCTGTGGAGATAATTAGAAATACACAGATGAAATCCAAAACGTATTACTAAGCATGAAAATGTGAACAAGAATCACCATTAAATTCAAAGTTGACTGCCAGGCCACTTTTCTTTGCTCAGGGATGATCTACAGAACTCTTTTATGACCATTTTATCATAAAACCATGGAAGGTGGTGGACAGACTATGATGAGACACAGAGAACACTAATAAGATCTTTCAAGTTTTTGTTTTTTTGATACTGCCACCTTCGTAATGAGTCTTTTTCCTTCCATTATTTTATTGCAGCAACTTGCAATTAAAATTAGCCAGAGGATGATCAAGAAAAGAAACCACTCAAATGGTCAAGAATGAAGTCTGTCCTTCTTCTTTACTTAGAACTCTCAAATGGAAATGTTAGATCAGTAAATAGATTATTTTCAGAGAATAATCCAAGTCAGTTGAATAATTGTTATTGGGATTTATAGGGCCTATTAAATCAACAAGAATCAATTATATGCTAAACCAAAATAACTTCCAGCTATTCCAACCCATTTGTACAGTCATCCACATCAATTGTCCACAGCCCTTTACTAGCCAGATCTTGAAGTTCATTCTCTGCTTCTAGCTTCTTTTGACCTTTCAACCAGCTGATATAGTCTGCTTCCTCATGTTCCTGGAAGAAAGAGATTAAGTATTAAACTGACAACACTAATATCCCTTTATCATTCCAGCGTCATGTTGTGGGGATTTTTAATTGCATTTTTAATTACTTTCAAATTCATCCTTGAGTTAGATTATTTTCAGTCAAAATATTTGTACTTTATTTTGCCCTTAAAAATACCAATATATATTTGGCTACTGAAAAATTGAGTGTCTTTCTCCATTATAATCCAAGTTTTCAAAACCTAAGTAATACCTGAGCTATCTTAAAAGAGATTTGGATGATACTCAAGTTTAGACTGATTGTATATTTTAGGAAGCAAATTATCCTTTGCCTCATGGTATCAGGATATCTGCCATTTGTCATTAAGTTTAATTGGCAGTTGACAAAACTGGATGGCCAGGTTCTCATAAAACAGTTGACCCTACCACCACATGGTAAATGATTTATACAGCACAGCAGCAGAGAATCAGCAAGATGTAAAGCTGCTCCAATTGAACTGAAAATAATTAAATTTCCAGATATTCCAGCTTTGTTGGCTGAAACTAGTTTAGAGACTTTGTTCATAACTTGTTAAATAACTTGTTCATAAATATTTAGTTATTCTATAGCAGGGCTGTCAAATTCCCGGCCCATGGACCGGATGCGTCACGTGCTGGCCACACCCAGTTTAGCGAAGGGGAAAAAAGTCCCAAATACATCACGTGACGCTACCATGACGACATGAGTTTGATACCCCTGTTCTATAGTGTAGTCTATTTGAACTTCTATATGCTACATATAGTTTGAATGAGCCCAAAGATATTATACCTCTATCATTATCTTTTCTGCAAATATAAAATAAAATAAGTGTCAGTTTGTGCATCTTCCCTCTTCTCAACTCTCTCCTCCGTTTCCTCCTTCAAAATGCTATTTTATATATCATCACCAGTTGTTAACATTTCTTGGAAGTGTTTTCTACATTTCTCGACAGCCTGTTTTTTAAAAATCACAGGTAGTCCTCAACTTACAGCAGTTCGCTTAGTGACTGTTCGAAGTTACAAAGGCACTGAAAAAAGATGACTATTTTCCATGCTTACGACCGTTGCAGCACTCCCATGGTCACATGATTTACATTTGGATGCTTGACAGCTGGCTCACATTTATGACAGTTGCAGTGTCCCAGGGTTATGTGATCCCTTTTTGCAACCTTCTGACAAGCAAAGTCAATGGGGAAACCAGATTCATTTAACAACTGTGTTACTAATTTAACAACTGCAGTGATTCACTTAATAAATGTGGCAAGAAAAGCTGTAAAATGGGGCAAGCTCACTTAACAAAATTTTGGGTTCAATTGTGGTCATCAGTTGAGGGCTAATGTACACCAAAAAGAAATCTGCAATGGTCCAATACAGACTGGAATAACCATGGACATTACAGGAAGATCTGTATTCCCTGCATCTTTCTATCCATTCCTTTGTGTGCTCAGAGAAGTATGAAAATAAAACAATGTTTGACTAATACAACTCACTGGGATTCAGTTGTTCTAAGTTAAGCTAATTCTTGTATTTAAGCAAGGTGCTAACCCTACCCTAGACCCAGTAAAGCATCTCATGAGAGGCCAGTATATTCTATAATACAGATAAATTGCATACAAGACTCCGAGAACACATTCAGCATCCTATTTCTTTTAAAGAATGGGTATCTGAAATATTAGAAAGACATATCATTGTTGAGAACTCTTGGAATATCAGAACTGGTCAAGAAAAAGTTATCATAGGAAGAAGATATCCCCTGTGACATTCAAGTAAAGCTCCTCCCAACCTGGAGAGATGATTACTATTTCAGACAGCCTGGAGGACTAAACAGAAAAAAAATATGTATTTCCAATCTTTCCCCCTCAGAAACTAAGAAGCTGAGATCCAGAACAATATCCTGCTTAGATGAGCAAAAGAAAGACCTAAATAATACTACCTCGTATAGACACATACTTTCTCTTCCTTACTTTTAACCCGTTTCTGCAGTAGAGCTGAAGAATTGCCATTGTCACCTTCTTCATCACTTTCTGCCACAAACTTTCGGAAGCTGCATCAGAGACAAAAGTAGTTTTAATATAATGTCAAGTGTTTTTGGAGGTTAAAAATTAATACCACCACACTGCACAGTCACAAACATTTACAACTACAATAGTTAGATTCAATTAGTAAATTGCAATACTTTTAGCCATGGCTTATCAATTAAGTAACTGGGTTCATTAAACCACTAATCCAGAACTATAGTTTCCTATTAAGAACTGGGTTCAAAGAAACAAAGCCAGGCAAATTAAATTTTGGTTCAATGGAATGTTCAAATCCAACCAAAGAGAAATTCTCTGCTCCAAACAACCCCAGCAGGATTCTTAACAATACTTCAGTTGCCACCAAATATTCTTTGCTTATGGACAAACACAGCTCCAGAAAACTAAAAAGTAAAACTGAAATAAACCCCAGAATCTATCATTACTCAATCTTAAGAGATATGGAATAAAAGATGGGACAGGTTAATGAGCATATAGAAAGTACACTAAGCAAATATGAAATAATTATATCTTATTCCCCCAATGCCTATGTATGAATAAGGTTCCAAGATGATTTACTCCCAAATCATACCTCTTTATTTATAGACATTTACCATTTGGAGGATATGTACACATATTGAGCAATCAGCATGAAGATTTTGAACCATCCAAGTTGTTTCCATTGAGTTCCTAGCTTCCAGATAGCTAATAATTACAATGAATTCTTGCCTTACCTTTCCTTTAGCTCCCTCTGTTCTTCTACATAAGTCTGGAAAAAGAAGACAGGGAAAAAGAAGATTCACCCGGTAACTTTACATATTGCTAGAACAATTTATGAGGGGATCTAGACTTCAAATTGATATACTCCTTCCAGACTCACCAGTTGCTTTTTAACTGTTATCTCTTCTTCATCCTCTTCATCTTCATATTTGCTGCAGAAAAAAAGAACGACAATGAGTTGACCAATCCTTGCTAATAAACACTTGAAATGAAAGAAACCAAATTATCATAACTGGCTGACAAACCGTACCCAACAAGTAGTCCTTAACAGGTCTACGTCTACATGGAGGGAAGTAAGCAGTGGGGTACCACAAGGTTCTGTCTTAGGCCCAGTACTCTTCAATGTCTTTATAAATGACTTAGATGAGGGAATAGAAGGGGAATTTACCAAATTTGCAGATGATACTAAGCTGGCAGGAATAGCTAACACCCTAGAAGATAGGCTCAAGATCCAGATGGATCTTGACAGACTTGAACACTGGGCCCTATCTAACAAAATGAAATTTAATGTAGAGAAATGTAAGGTCTTACACTTAGGCAAGAAAAACCAAAAGTACACATATAGATTGGATGAAACTAGGTTTAATAACAGTAACTGTGAGAGGAATCTTGGAGTCTTAGTGGACAACCAGCTAAATATGAGCCAGCAGTGTGTGGCGGCAACCAAAAAGCCAATGCAATCCTAAACCGCATTAACAGAGGGATATAATCAAAATCAAGATCAAGTGAGGTACTAATACCCAAAAAAGCCTTAGTAAGACCACATCTAGAATACTGCATCCAGTTTTGGTCACCACACTATAAAAAAGATGTTGAGACTCTAGAAAAAGTGCAGAGAAGAGCAACCAGGATGATTAGGGGACTGGACACTAAAACATATGAAGAACGGTTACAGGAACTGGGCATGGCTAGTCTAGTGAAGAGAAGGACCAGGGGAGACATGATAGCAGTGTTCCAATATTTGAGGGGCTGCCACAGAGAGGAAGGGGTCAAGCTATTTTCCAAGGCACCTGAAGGCCAGAATAATGGATGAGGAATAATGAATAATGAATGGAAACTGACCAAGGAGAGATTCAGCCTAGAATAAGGAGAAATTTTCTGACAGTGAGAACAATCAACTAATAAAATAGCTTGCCTTCGGAAGTTGTGGGAGCTTCATCACTGGAGGCTTTCAGAAAGAGATTGGATTGCCATTTGTCAGAAAAAGTATAGGGTCTCCTGCTTGAGCGGGGGGTTGGACTAGATGACCTACAAGCTCCCTTCCAACTCTGTTAATCTAATCTAATCTAACCTAAAACCTGAAATTCAGTCCTCTGATACTGATGAGATATTGCTTCCTGGGTTGAAGAGGTTGAAGACAAAATCTTCTCAGAAAGAAACAAAGTTGCTCATATGTTCATCCTACTGGCTAAGCTGATAAAAATTTACTAGGGAAGGGAAAGTGAAGTATGCAGATATTCTTTCAGTTCTAGGTAGAGAAATATAGCATGGGAAACTCAGCTCCTCTATACTGCAAAAAAGCAAGTGTCATTATGTGAAAATTATATATAATGTGTGCGCAATTATTAGGCAAGTGAGTATTTTGACCATAACATCATTTTATGCATATTTTCCACCTCCAAGTTGTATAAACTTGAATGCTTAGTGGATATAAGCATATCAGATGAGATGTATTTGTGTAATGAGGGATGGTGTGGCCTAAGGAGATCAACACCCTATATCGAGGTGTGCATAATTAGCTTCTTCTCCTCAGGCAATATGGGCCAAAAAAGAGATTTAACTGACTTTGAAAAGTCAAAAATTGTACGAAGTCTTTCAGAGGGATGCAGCACTCTTGAAATTGCTAAGATGTTGGGGTGTGATCAGAGAACCATCAAGCATTTTGTTGCAAATAGTCAACAGGGTTGCCAAAAACACGTTGAGAAAAAAAGACGCAATTAACCACCAAAGATTTGAGAAGAATCAAATGTGAAGCTACCAGGACCCCATTATCCTCCAGTGCTGTCATATTCCAGAACTGCAACCTACCTGGAGTGCCCAGAAGTACAAGGTATTCAGTGCTCAAGAGACATGGCCAAGGTAAGAAGGATGAAACCCGACTACCACTGAACAAGACACATAAGCTGAAACAGCATATCAAAGACAGATTTTTTAAAAAGTTTTATCGACTGATGAGATGAGCGTGACTTTTGACAGATCATATAGATGGGCCTGTGGCTGGATCAGTAACAGGCACAGATCTCCACTTCAACTCAGATGCCAGCAAGGTGGAGGTGGGGTACTAATATGGGCTGGTATTATGGAAGTTGAGCTAGTTGGAGCTTTTTGGGTTGAAGATGGACTCAAAATCAACCCCCAAATCTACTTTTTAGAACAGTACACCTCTCTGAACAGTGTCTGGGAAGCTGTGGTGGCTGCTGCACAAAAAGTTGATTATCAACAGAACAAGAAACAGATTCTCTGTTAATGGAAGACTTATGATTTATTGAAAAGAAGGATGGCTACATTAGTCACTGATTTTTTTTTGAAATGCCAGAAATGTTTATTTGTACATTTTGAGTTATTATTCTCACTTTAACAGATGCAAATAAATGAGATGGGAATATTTTCATTTTTCATTTAGTTGCATAATAATTCTGCACACTAATAGTTGCCCAATAATTGTGCACACATATTCTCCTAAGAAAGCCAAAACCTCACTTTTACTTTCTTAAATATTCAGGTTTGAGGTTTATTAACATTTTGGATTGGCCAAGAGTTGTTCAATAATAAATTTAATCCTCTAAAATACAATGTGCCTAATAAATGTGCATACAGTGTATGTTCATTTGGTGGATTTAGTGAATTTTGCAATTCCATCATTCAAAAGTTGAATTGGAAATGTAATTTATTAATAATATTCTATTGCACAGAGTTCTGTACATCTTGAATAAAAGTTTTGATTAGGCATTCTCACATATTAATTAAAAATCATAAGACTATAAGGGTTGGATGGTACTTCAGGGATCATTCTAGCTCAACCATCTGCTAATACAGGTCTGTATTACTGCCAGTTTTTAGAAGACACTTTCTTCTAAATTTTACTTTGAAAAATTTTCTTTGTTAGATGTGCCAGAAAGGTTTGGAATAAACATAAAGTTCCCCACAAAAATTCCATTTTGGGTATCATCCCAGGAACCTCTCTTTAGAAAAGAAATGATGGTGAGGCCAAACTGGTGGACTTATGGTCAAATAATACTTTTTAATTATGAGCCTGAAGGCTAATTAGGTACCAAGTGCACCCCAAGTCCAATAAGGCTGTGAGGACCCCCTCTTACTCCCAAGGGCACCAAAATCTCCACTGGGTTATCATAGGGATGATGGTGCCACGACCCAAGATGATGATGGGTCGCCTTCCCCTTTGCTGTCGCTTTCATAGAAGACCAAGCTGGGCTGATCATGGGTCAAAGTTCTCTCCCCTTCGCTGGATTGGGGAGAGACTTCCATGACCTGTCGAGCCACCCACAATTTCTCTTTCGGCTTTGCAGGTGGTTTCCTTGGCTTTGGCTGGGTCAGGGCTTGCGATGTAGATGCTGCCACAGCATGAGGCAATTGGCCACTTGGTGACCCTCCTTCCCACATCCGAAACACGCTCCTGGGCTCCAGTGGGGCTTCTCCCCTGTGGTAGGGGGTGCACCCCCTCTTCCTCCACAGGGCGCCAGGCGTCTCTCAGGCATTCAGTGGGGCCAGTTCTAATGTGCCGCATTCCATCAGGTCAAGCTCCACGTTCGTGGCTAACTGGTACCACACTTAAAAGTCAAGGCAATTGTGATACAGCTCCTTGTTCAACCCATCCCTGAACTGGTAGACCAGCATACACTCAGGTCAATATCCCAGGTGAGCCAGCAGACCATAAAAATCTTGGCTGTACTCTGCCACTGGCTGCTTGCCCTGCCATTGGGAGTGGATGTGGGTCTCTGCTCACCGGCTGTTGTGTGATCTTTGAATCTGTCCCACAATGCCTGCATGAAAGCATACAGGTCTTGTAGCTCCAGAGCCCCCTCATCATGGAGAGATACCAGTTATCCTGCAGCACTGCCTTCCAGGTTAGATGTAACGGCATTGACCCGGGCACATTCATCTGGATACATCATTCCATATAGTTCCAGAACTGGCTCAAGAAATAGGCCAAATATTGACAAAAAACGAACAACATATGCAGAAAGTAGAAGAAAAAGTCAAACAAATGGAGAAAAAGGTGGATGAAGTTGATAGTAGACTCACTCTGGCAGACAAAAATAAAGGAAGAACAATAATCTCTTTAGAAATGGACCGGGCTGACTACTATCTACAGTTTCAGAATATCAAGGAAGAAAAAGGAGAAAATTTAGCAGAAAAAATTGAGTATAAGTGACAAAGAAGAGGCAAAACGACGAGAAGAAGTGATGGAAAAGAGGTGTGTGCAACAAGAAGATAAAAGAGATCGAGAGGAAATACCGATAAGGGGCAAGAGTGAAAGAACCAAGAGAAATAAGAATGGCTAGAACGGCAAATCCCACCTACAAATAATTATGGAGGAAGAAGTTAAGTTAATATCAATTAACATACTGTAAATGGACTGAATTCGGCAATAAAAAGAAAACAGACCTTTCATAGACTAGAAAAATTAAAATTAGATATAATTTGTCTACAAGAAGTTCACATAAAAAACAACATTTGAAAGTATTGAAATATCCCAAATTTGGGAAGTTATACATGTCTTTATCATTGCAAAAGCAAAGGGGGATAGCCCTATATATAAAAGAGACAATAAATCCTAAACAAATTTTTATGGAGGAGAGATAATTTTGATGGTGGAAATAATGAAATAAAAAATCGATTCTTTTGGTAGCAATCTATGCACCAAATGTTAACCAAGATCACAAAAAAAAAAAAAAAAGAATTGGAGCATCATAATATATATATCTTGGGAGATTTTAATGCAATTTTAGATGCGGAAAGGGACTATAAAACCAGAAAGGTAAACAAAAAGTAGGGGAAATACTCCCTAAGACCTTCTTTAGAATGGCAGAAGAACTAGCCACCCAAGACATATCGCGAGAAATGGATCCCAAAGAAAATCAATATTTATTTTATTCAAATAGACACATTGTCAGGTTTCAAAGTCGTCTTG